GAAAGGAAATCGATTCGTTGATGGAAACCACTCTAGCATCTCTGATATAAGGGGGAAATTTTTTTAAAATTTATGTTAGGACGACCTTGAAATTAAATTATGCGTAACATTTAAGTGACATTTGAAATTATATAACAACGGTTACACGCCTTAAGATATTGTAACTAAATTAATTTCTTTTATAGTACAAACCGAATCAAAGGATTTGCAAAAGAAAGATTAAGCTTTAAGAAAAGAAAGTATAATTTAACGTGTTGACGTCACGCTAACAGTACCGGAACATTGTTGAACTGAAAAAAAAAAAGTTGTAGAAAGGAATCTTAACAACGAGACATACTCTCCATGCAAGTCGTGTTGAATGAGAAGGACACAGTCCGCTATGGAGGCTGTTGTGAGACGCATGTCTTCCATTGATCCCACAACCTGGTTTCGACAACAATAACAACTACCACGCCTGGGATCTTCCTACAATTCCTACACCATGTAGTAAACATGTCTGCAGGACATACTCAGTATGCTGCCGTGCCCGTCAACACTAGACATTGCTGAGTTCCCAGTCCTGAATATCTTGTACATAAGTCGGTGGATTCTGGTGTGACCATTGCGTTTAGTCTGCGAACTGAAGAAAACGAGTGGAACTTTATGTATATATATATATATAAATTTTTAAAAACATCATAATTATCCGATGGTGCGTATTTATTAGTTTGTAAATAAAAAATCGTACTCTGGTATGTGAAAAGTAGACTCAAATGTTTTTCGGCGTGTCCAGTGGTCATATGGGCATGAATTTGCGTAGGGTTTTGGTGTCGTTGCAACGCAGTGGTCAGTTGTGTTTTAGACCACGTTTGTAAGCATAGCTCATGATTCGTGCACAAGAAAGCAACACAATTTAGGGTGAACAGTATTTACTGCCTAGAAATTGTAACCCTATAAAAGAATAACCCTTCACTAAAATGTTCCGTTTATTTTCTTGCAGTCACAAATGGCGCCTCAGTCAATACATTTAAGGAATGTTGCTATTGGCCGACTGCAGGCAGGAGAAATGTTAAGTCATGTTGTCACGCATCTAAACGTGCCTACTGTCAGTCGAATTCGGCACCGGTTCTAAGCCACTGGTTCGGTTGAAGACCGACATCGCAGTAGGCGACCCAAAGTGGCGGAGAATCACTTTATTCGGCTTCGTCACCTCAGCTTCCTCAACTGCGCAGGCATTACCTACAAGACCTCATATGTCTGATCAAACTTGGGAACAGACTGCCTGGCGTTTGACTAGGCCCGACAACCACGCCGAGGACGTGTCTTTACGCGTCATCACCGCCAAAATCAACTTTTTTGAGCCAACCAACATCGTCTCTGGACAGGAGACAATCAGTGGAGACGTTTCTGGGTCAGTGGCGAATCTTACTTTCTGTTGTAGCGTCATGATAGACGGCGTACGAACTATCATAGACGAAATAAAGCTTAAGCCTAAAATTGTGTTGAGCGGTGGAGGAGGTGTAAAGGTGTGGGGAATGATCAGTTACAACGGAAGAAGTCTATTGGTACACACTGAAGAAAGCCTATATGCGTAACGATACGTCCATGAAATTCTTCGACCACATGTCCTTTCATTTAGGGATGCCAACAGATATCTTTTTCTAAAGTACAACGCCAGACCCCATTCTGCATGGATGACCACCCAGTTCCTTGCTGCCAAAAACATTCAACCCCTTCCCTGGTCATCCCTGTCTGCAGACATGAGTCTGATTAAGCACCTGTGGGATGAGCTGCAAAGACGTGTTTGTCGCCGAGGCGTTGCTTCAGCCAATGGTCGTGATCTGTTCCAGTCACTCCAGAAAGAGTGGGCAGTTATCCCACAGGTCCACATCAGACATCTGATCGCATCCATGCCCAGGAGATGCCTGTCATTGATCCACGCAAGAGAAGGCCACACACCATTCAAACACGAAAGGCCTGCGCCTAAAAATAAAAAATAAAATAGGAACTGTTTAAGATAGATTGAAACATTGCTAAACGACTGGATGGATCGTCCTAAAACGTCTCCTCTATGATTTAGACAGCCGAAAACTTCGGGTAACAGCTAGAGCTTTGAACAGTTTTAGACCCCGTGGGATAAAATTTAATAGACATATGGTTACTATGTGTATCCACCACCCCCCCCCCCCCTGCGCCCCCTGCCCCACCCATGCAGTCTAAAAGTTTGACATCAAAAGGACCTAGTTAATTGCATCACGGATGGGAAGGTAACAGGTAAGATATCAAGCATATGGTGATGGGCCTATTCGTTACTGACCAATTAGCACTCAAAGGATAGTGTAGTCAATATGTTACCTACCCTCTTGACTTCATTAGACATGTTCGGGTACCAGTTTTAGGCTGAGGACAAAAGAGCCCCAGACCGATTAAAACTATTCTGGGATGTGAGATGCTAGTTTATCATCCAGGGTGTATTTTAGAATTCTAAGTGGTTGGGTCAACCATTCAGGGTCGGACAGAAGGCAGAAGAGAAAAAAAAAAAGCTGACATCTATCATGTCTAATTAGGGTAGTGCTCCATTAATGGGCCGAAGGTTTCTGATTCGATTCCGCATACGGGCTGTATTCCGTTCAACTTCCAAAGAAGTTCTAACTGGGGCAGGGTAACTGTTCGAACCACCCTGCTGTATCCAGTAGGCCCACGCCCTCAACAAGTTAGCGACTCGTTAGGGCCAGGTTTTTTGCCAGTGCGCAGTTCAGGGATCTTACGGAAATGCAGCGTCCCGTGTGGGGCGCAATTTTTGTTGTTGTTTTACAGCCCCACCTTGGCTGTTGCCTGGGACCTCAATATAACCCAACTTATGGGTTAAATGGCATTTTTGGGACCTGCCCCGGGGTGATCCTCATTCGAATGGTGGCACTTTGTGTCAGCGGGTATTTATCGATGGGTGTGATGTCCTGCTGGGGTAAAACATCAGTCAGTCCGGCACTTTTTTTGACCCTATAAAATCCTGGTTAGTAGTAAAATCCCATCACATTAGTTCAGACAAATCGACAGGTGTTCCTGTCGCTTCCTCAACAGCCCCACAAGTATAAAACAACGGTTCCCGCCTTTTCTGTATTGATTAATCAATTTTCCTGCACTGTTGGTGATACGCTGAGGTCTGGCAGCTCCAGTCTGCTCCCCGTGTCGACCAGCCTGAATACAGATAAGAAGTAAAGCCTTGTAGCAAACTTAAGGTTTGCAGATAACATCCATGGGTTGGCGGGGAAGAACAAGAGCTAGTCGAGCTTGTAAATCTGCTCGATGAAACAACGACCAAATATGGCATGGAAATAAACGCAGAGAAACAAACAAAAGTAACGACTAATAATCCAGCTGTCATAACTTTACTAACGTACGTTAAAGGTCATAAATTATAACAGTCAATCATTTCAAATGTGTAGGATTCATTTTAAGTGACCTGGGTTCAAGACCAGAAATATGTCTAGGATTGCCCAGACAACATCAGTCTTTGCCAAGCAGCAAACATTATGGAGATATAAAAACACTTCATGCAAAACTAAGATTCAATTGTTTAGAGCACTAGCTGTTAGTACTTGTACACATGGCTGTGAAACATGGACCTTAACAGCTAAACTCGAAGATACAAGCATTGGAAATATGATGTTTCAGACACATCCTTGGCGTATCATACAAAGACCACATTACAATCGAAGAGGCTCGCTATATAATTACACATGAGCCTTTATGAACCTCTCTTTTAGCAGTGAAAAGGCGAAAAATGCAATGATTTGGCCATGTAATGAGATTTAACGGCCTCTAGCCCGGCTCTATAGAGTAGTTGGCTAAACCGGAGTACGCGGTGACCGGGTGACGAACTCCTTGTGGTCTGGGTTCACCCCCGAGGTAGGCAGAAAAGCCACATTTCTCCCAGATTTACGGTATGAACAAAGGAATCAAGGCCGAAAGGTTGCGATATCCATAATACCGAGCCTAATGGTTAACAACTCATGGCTTCTGGATACTAAAACAAACAAACAACGGCCTCTAAAACATTACTGCAGGGCTCAGCAAAGGGGAAAGAGGAGAAGAGGCAGACCAAGAAAGACCTGGTTACAAAACCTCATTGATTGTACAGGCCTCAGTCATGCAACCATGAAGTCCATCGCAACTGACCCCCGAAGGTGGAGCGAGCTGATCAGACAATTAACAGAAACTGGTGACCCAACGACACGCAGTGTTACAGATGATGATGATGATGATTCATGCCTTCATTAGTTTATGGCTTCCCCGAGTAAGGTGTCATTTGCTTATATGCAGACACGTGGATGCGTGCACCTGTGCCGCCCCCCCCCTCTCCCGACTCCCTTTTACCTGCGATGTTACCTGTATGTTTTACACCTGACACTACAAAATCTCAAACGGAATGGTAGACCATCACGACAAATCTCAGAAATCTCGTTTAACTTCCGAAGACGTTGTACTTGGAACACGTGTAACGGCCACACTAAAGGACTCAAGAAGACTAATCCCCAAGGTTCTCGCACCTAGGGATCGGTGTAACCTGCAATTTATGTGGGTAAGGACGAACAGTTGCAGTAGAACAGCTACTATTTTTTTCATTTATCACATCCCGTCTGTCTCAATTTCCCGCCCTCTGTCTCTTCTGAGTCCAGTATGTATACATTTATAGCCAACAGAACACGTGTGACGATGGCTTCTGCTGGGACCTGACAGCGGCTATCGACTATCGATTCCAAAGTGATGTTTTTGCAAATTGTAATCCTGAAATCAATATTTTGTAGACACAGATAGAGAGCCAAGTTTAGTCAAGCATGCCGATGTTCCACAAATAGAGCAGTTTGTGATCTAAATATGTCCACGTAATTGGTGTACATCGATTGTTGTCAGCTCAGGGACCGCCAGACCTGACACGGCACATGCACTTCCTCCGGTGTGCTGAGATGGCGCAAACTTGGAGACAAGACTGCCTCGTCGTCACCGCTGACTGATCAACAATGTCACAAAGCCAGGACCTTAAGGAACGAGTAGAAGGATGGTTGCACGTATGGGGTAAGCTGTTTTTGTCTCTAATGAATGTTTTCACGCAGTGTTAGAGCAGATATTTGATTGATCTTGAGGTTTAGTTACTGTGTGTGTACGGCGTCCACAGACATCCCTGTGCTCTCCTGCTACTACCTGAGAAATCAATAATCTTCCAGTGAGATCTGTTAGTCGCCTAACAAGAGACAAAAACCAACGACACGCGTTAGCACGGAGGTGTTTACCTGTGTGCGTGAGCAACATACTGTGGAGAGAAGGCAGTTTCTAGCACACAGCGAGTATTTTATGTGCTACGGTAGCACATCATAGCGAGTATACTGTAGCCTGTAGCATTCCATCTGCAGATTAAGAATATTCTCACCTGCTATTTAAAAGGAACTCTGAATGAACTCAAGAGAGAGAGAGAGAGAGAGAGAGAGAGAGAGAGAGAGAGAGAGAGAGAGAGAGAGAGAGAGAGAGAGAGAGGTGGGGTGGTGGGGGGGGGGAGAGCAGACAGACAAGTTAACGGGTGGAGGGAGAGTGTAGCATAGGATATCCGAGGCTGAGTGGTCAAGCCGTTTGTGTCGAGCTGTGAAGGTCATGGCTTCGTGAGCGCATTTTCTGACGCTGCCTCGTTATCGTCGCTGACACTAAGGAGTTCGTGCATATAGTGTCATTAATGAAATATCCTTAACAATAATGTTACTTGTCCCCAACTCCTTTAAAAAAAAAAACACTAATGTTCGGTAACTATAGAATGGGGTGTACAAGGATTCCATATAGTGTTAGGGGGCTGCGTGGTCTCCAGACATGGTGTCCGCCTCGAGTGCTTGAGGTTCCAGGTTCAATCCCCGGTAAGGGCGGGGATTTATTTACGTCGACTTGGACTTCTAGTAATTTCCCCCTGGTTTCTGTGTAGTGAGATTGTTTCGCACACTAAAAAAAAAAAAAAAACCTTGGCAACTGGAAATCGAAAAAAGAAGCCTAACGGCTCTGCCTGGGCAAAATTTGGAGTTAAAAATCTACCCAAAGTATTTCAGGTGCCTCGCCGGTGCTACAGAGTCTGTTCACTATGGTGAGCTTCTTCGGACTTGAGTTAGAAGAAGAACGGATCACATATGGATTATTACCCGTGTGCCATGACGTTGATCCGTTGTTCGAAACCTCAGACCTCCATATAGTGCTAGAAAGGTGACGAGTATTGCAAGAAAAAAAGAAAAAAACACTTATGTACCTGCTTCATAATTCTGGCAAATCTGAGGAACACTTCTTCTTCTTCTGCCTTTCTATCCGCCAATGGAGCATAGGCCCTCAACTCATGCCGTTCCATCCGTTGCTATCGCGTGCAGCTCTCCCCATATCCTCTCCATCTTTTTAACGTCACTCTCTAGCTCCGTCACGTCAATGATCCGGACTCCTGTCGGCTTTACCCACACCGTGTTATCATTTTTTCTACAAGAAGAGCCTCCCCTCGTTTTTGGGTGGCTGAGTTTTTCTTGTTTCTCTTTTTGACTTCTCCATGGTTGGTTGATTTTTGTAACTATTGTTTTTAACAGGATGTGGTAGCTAACCTCACGCCAAACCCTAGCCTTAGTCGCCTCTTACGACATGCTTGATACGGTGCAGTTTTACTTTTCTTTGCTTCCAGTGAGGGCACCGGTGACTCACAGGTTCTGGGGAATACAGTTCCCTGCCAAATCCGTGGATTTAAATGTAATTTTCAAGCAACTACTACACACTGGTAGACAGTCAAACCTGTTTACGCATGACGTCATGCTATCTACTACAGCTATAGCTTATCTGTACTTCTCATTTAACTGTCTGTAAAATAATTTTACATCTTTGGTATTCGTTTTATCCTTTTTTCCTTAAGGATTTAATCGAATTACCATAGCCAGGAAGACGTTTTAAATTATGTATAGTGAAACAGTGCTCATGTCATCTAGTAAAACAGTGCTCATGTCATCTAGTGATACAGTGCTCATGTCATCTAGTGATGCAGTGCTCATGTCATCTAGTGACACAGTGCACATGTCATCTAGTGATACAGTGCTCATGTCATTTAGTGAAACAGTGCTCATGTCATCTAGTCATACAGTGCTCATGTCATCTAGTGATACAGTGCTCAGGTCATCTAGTTATACAGTGCTCATGTCATCTAGTGATACAGTGCTCAGGTCATCTAGTGATACAGTGCTCAGGTCATCTAGAGAAACAGTGCTCATGTCATCTAGTGAAACATTGTTCATGTCATCTAGTGATAAAGTGCTCATGTCATCTAGTGATGCAGTGCTCATGTCATCTAGTGACACAGTGCACATGTCATCTAGTGATACAGTGCTCATGTCATTTAGTGAAACAGTGCTCATGTCATCTAGTCATACAGTGCTCATGTCATCTAATGATACAGTGCTGATGTCATCTAGTGATACAGTGCTCATGTCATCTAGTGATACAGTGCTCATGTCATCTAATGATATGAGGTCACCATAAGGTCTATTGACACAGTGCCCATCATGTTTAGTGATATAGAGTCCATACTGCCTGTGGTACAATGACCAAAGCATATCCAATAGTACAGTGACTATGACATATCCCATGGTACATTGACCCACATATCCTATGGTACAGTGACCCACATATACAATTGTACAGTGACCCGCCTAGTCCATTGACAGCTCCCATGGTACAGTGACCATGACAAGTCTCATGGTACAGTCAACATGACATACCCCGTGGTACAGTTATAGCAATATTTGCCGTTTGGGATTGTTGTCTTTTCTAGAACTGTCAGAATTCTCCAGTCTGTGATACATATGTTTTTCATGCTGTCCCAACATTGTTGTTCTTTTATCTGCTTCAACGTCTGGAACTTGTTGCTGTAGAGTAACTCAATGTATACTGAGTATTTGAGTGAGTAATCATCTCTTATGCTAGGATTTGACAATTGTTATTGCCAACACATAACTGGAAACCTCAACATGGTTTAAACAGTAAAATATGGCAAGTCTAACAAAATGCAACAAAATGTACGTATGTAAATTGTACCCTACCAGGACATCACACAAGCTTTTGGGGCCCCCAGCAAAAACCAGGGTGGGGCTTCAAATAACGAAAAATTGCATCCCACATAGGGACAGTTCCAGCTCGTTAAAAAAAAAAAAAAGTTATAGTCGCCCTAACCAGCTCCAAAATTGAGCGGCAGTTATGTTGGGACTGCGTTTAGTTGTTTGGGGTTTCCAATAGTTTTTTGTCCATTGTGGCGTGTCCATACGCCTGTATTTGTGCCACCTGACAGTCTTATGTCATTTCCTTGTTGTGTATCTTGTTGTCCAGCCCGCCGTCGCTGAGTGCACCAAGGCATCCACCAGTGTCACCATCTCGAAACAAACAAGCCTGCCACATTGCGCCAGAAAACAAGGCCATTTTCGGGTTCCCACATTTAACATCTTTTTTTTTTTTTTTTTGGCCTTTTTTTTTTTTTTTTTTAATTGTTTAGACAAGTTTTCGAGTGAGAAACGATGTGATTACAAGAACTATTGGAACCATACCCATCGTTAAATTTATTGAGAAGCAAAGAATGAAATGGTTTGGTCACCTAATGAGAATGGAACCAACGATGCCAGCATCAAGAGCATACAACATGAAAATCGAAACACCAAGAGGCAGGGGAAGACCAAGAAGAATATGGATTGAAGGAGTCACGGACAACTTGAGACTTCATAACATCACGGCATATGAAGCGACTGAGCGCGCCCTGGCTCGGTTGCCGATCATCTGATAGACTGCGACGCCTAGCGGCACAAGCAGATTTTGACAAAAGAAGAAAGAAGTGACAAGTTTTCTTCTTGTAAAAAATTGTATAGATGGAGTGGACATGAGTATAGGTACAGTCAATTGATAATGATCCGAAAATTTTTTAAGGACTTATAGTGAGGTCGGAAGTTGTAGATAGATGGGTAGTTTTTTAGAAGTTCCCTTTTAGGCGTCCGGACTTGGAAGTTGAGATGTCGCTGTCCTCTGGTCTGTTTCCCTCTCGGTAGGTCGCTGTGCTGTTTCTGGCTGTGTTGTCGTTGCTGGGGTGGTTGGTCTAGTAGTTTTTCCAGCGTTTGTCCTACTCAGGTATTGCTTCACCAGTTTCTGGATGTCAGGATCGCTGTTCACATGTAGGATCTCGGTGACAGAGAGGGTGGTGTTTTTACTCTGTAGGTGGTTCTTAATTGGGCGCCTTTGCACTTTGTATTTGGAACATTCCAGTAGGTAGTGGGCTAATGTGTTGTTTTTATTGCATTCGGGACACCTCGGATTTCGTACGTTTCCGTCCAGTTGCCAAGTCTAAGGTTCCATAATTTGTTAAAAACTGGTATTTTCATCGGATCTTTAATCTGGGAGGCGAGTCTGGGTTTTCTTAGAAGCTGGAAAGCGTGTCTACCCTGCACAAATTGTTGCCATTGTATGTTCCAGGCCTCTGTGATAAACTGTCTTGTGGCTGCTCGGCCCTCTGACTTACCCAGACCTACGTCTAGGGTGCGGTCACAGTGGACGCCCTTTTTGGGGACGGCTGTTGCTATATATCAATCTAACAACACAATTATTGTGAATACAAGGAAGTGAAGACTGCATTTGTAAATACACTGTAGTCATAAAAATTGTTTTTTTTTTCCTTGATTAATCTACATTTGAGTATAAAGTCCTAAGCTCTACTTGCTGTGTCTTGTGTGGTCTCATGTTATCACTAATTAGACTCAGGTCTACTATAAAAAAGATTCTGTGGGATCATTTCAGAAATGACCTGTGCTGTAGAGAAAAGATTGTTTTCTAAGGGACATCACCCACAAGCAAGATGGGAGCCCCGGTTTTGTGTGCTGATGACAGATATCAGAGCTTTCAAATTCTACACAGCAGAACAGGTTTGTTGACTATCTGTGCAGTTCTGTGGTCTCCTCCTAATGAGACGACTGTTAAATGTTGAAACATTAAATGGGAAGGACTCCAGAAAGGTTAGGATCTCAGAGAATTCTTTGGAAATCTGCTGGTATCAGCACTCTGAAGAGAAAGAAGATGAGGCACATTCTGAGACAGCCTGAGCTAAGAGCCACAAAATTGGCACGGAAATTATAACCAAATGTTTCCATGTTAGTTTTAGCCTCCACTGTGGGACACAGAGAAATAGACACACTCCCACACTAACAAGCATGTCACAAAAGGCAATTAATTAGGGGTGATTCCTTTACAGTTGAAATGCATCTATCTGAGGTATGAGAAACCAACAATCTGCATTCAGACAAGCCTGATCCATAAAACAAAAAAGTATTAGGACAAAACCAAAGTCCAGCCAAAATGTTCCACCAGAGTTTATAGCTGATGGATGCTGAGAAGAAGAAGAAGAAAAAACTAAATAGAGGAAGCAAGTGTGTCCAATAGAAATTCTATGAAACACATCAATGAAAGAGGACAGGGATGTCACATGAGATTGCACAGCAAAAACATGATAGAAAGAACATTGCACAGGACAGGACAGAATAAGGGAGTTGACCTTGAGCTCTGTATGGTGTAAAAAAGATGTCATTAATTTTTTGTTATTTGTTACTGTCAAGATTTTATGTGAAAATAAATAAATGCACAAGCCAGAGACATTCTTATCACAATTAACAATGGTGGGCAGTTCAAAATAAGTCCGGATGCTGGCTATGGCACTGCTGGCTATGGCACTGCTGGCTATGAGACTGCTAGCTTTGGCACTGCTGGCTATGAGACTGCTAGCTATGAGACTGCTAGCTATGGCACTACTGGCTATGAGACTGCTAGCTATGGCACTGCTGACTATGAGACTGCTGGCTATGAGACTGCTAGCTATGAGACTGCTAGCTATGAGACTGCTAGCTATGAGACTGCTGGCTATGAGACTGCTAGCTATGAGACTGCTAGCTATGAGACTGCTAGCTATGAGACTGCTAGCTATGGCACTGCTGGCTTTGAGACTGCTAGCTATCAGACTGCTAGCTATAAGACTGCTGGCTATGAGACTGCTAGCTATGAGACTGCTAGCTATGAGACTGCTAGCTATGAGACTGCTAGCTATGAGAATGCTAGCTATGAGACTGCTGGCTATGAGACTGCTAGCTATGAGACTGCTAGCTATGAGACTGCTGGCTATCAGACTACTAGCTATGAGACTGCTGGCTATGGCAATGCTGGCTATGAGACTGCTAGCTATGAGACTGCTGGCTATGAGACTGCTAGCTATGAGACTGCTAGCTATGAGACTGCTAGCTATGAGACTGCTAGCTATGAGACTGCTAGCTATGAGACTGCTAGCTATGAGACTGCTAGCTATGAGACTGCTAGCTATGAGACTTCTAGCCATGAGACTGCTAGCTATGAGACTGCTAGCTATGGCACTGCTGGCTATCCCAATGCTAGCTATGAGACTGCTAGCTATGAGACTGCTAGCTATGAGACTGCTAGCTATGAGACTGCTGGCTATGAGACTGCTAGCTATGAGACTGCTAGCTATGAGACTGCTAGCTATGAGACTGCTAGCTATGAGACTGCTAGCTATGACAATATGACATATACAATCTGAGTTCCACATACACAGTCTGTGTTCCACATACAGAGTTGTGTTCCCCATATACAAACTGTCTCCCAGATATATGGTATATCTCCCACATATAGAGTCTGCTTTATCCTTTTACACTACTGTTTGTGCTCCCTATTTGGTTCTACTAATTCTCAGTCAAATACAGTTGAGAACAAGAAGAATGCTGAGGCAGTGACTAAAGCAATTACTGCAGGGGTTAAAGCAACACTGAGCAGAGGCATATCTCTTGTAACAGCTATGCTAGCCTGGGCTAGAATATTAATGGCCTAAAACTGAGAGAGCACAACAGATAGAAAGTGTTATGCTTGGCCATGTTATGTTTAACATCTAACATACAACTGAAAGCAAATGAAACAAATATCAGGGCACCTAATGTATTAGTTAGTTAGTTAGTCTTTCCTCTTGTGTCGAGTGCGGCACATAGGGCAGAGGTCATGACTCTCCATGCATGGCGGTTCGTTGCAATCTGTTGTAGGTCTTGGATGTTTGAGTGGCCCATGAGTGAGCCTTCCCTGATGATAGTTCTACGTAGGGTTTCCCTTGGTCTTCCACGAGATCTTTTCCCCTGTGGTGTCCAAATGAGGGCTTGGTAAGGAAGTCTTGATTTATCCATTCTAAGGGCGTGGCCGACATAGTTCCAGTGGCGTTTTCGTATAAAATTAGACACATACTCTTGCCTGGATTCTTGCCTTATTTGTGTATTGGTTTTGAAATCTGACCATTTGAAATTTAGTATTCTTCTAAGGCATTTATTTTCAAAACTGTCTAATTTTGTGTCTAGAGTTTTCGTTGATTTCCAGCTCTCGCATCCATAGGTTAGTACTGGAATCACACAAGAATTGAAGATCTTGAGTTTTGTGTGTTTGCTAAGTGTCTTTGATTTCCAGATGTTAGACAGTTTATTGAAGGCACTAGATGCCAGTGCTATTCTAAATGGTATTTCTGGTGCGGTATCTCCTGTAGATGACATCTTGCTCCCTAGATAAGTGAAACTGTTGACTTTTTCAAGGCTGTTGTTGTTCAGCATAGCTCAAATAAAAGAATCATTTCACATTAAACTGAAAAGTTATTACAGGCCAAGCTTAATAGTGTAAATCCAGATGTATGGAAGGAAATGATGGGTAGTAGCTAATTAGTGAAACATTTGAAGCTCCCAAGATGTGGTTTTAACACAACATAACATAACCCTTGACCCATTACGGTCGTGGAGGTGTATTGATTGAAGCACTAGAGCATAAAACCTGCCATCTTTATGTGTCTTCCGCTTTATGAATAAGTGAATGATAACTTAGTCCTGTCAATTTCTCGATGTTGTCATTCCAGATTCTTCTTTGCCCTCCTCTTCTTTGACTACCCCAAATGTTCCTTGAAGTACAGTCTTTGCAATCGAATCATGTCTCCCCACGTGCCCAAACCATGCTAGCCTATGAAGTTTCACCATGGCCAAAAGAGGCTCCTGATGTCCCGCAAATTTGTAAATTTTGTCTCCTTCATATTTTTCAGTGTTGTGTAAAATTGATGTTGTTTTACAGAAGACTTTAGAATACCATGGTCAGATAATGAGCATGATGAGAAAATAATTTTCAAAGACAATTGATAGTAAAATAGGCCATGTTATATCTTAGGGCTCATTGAGAGTTAAAAATTGGAGTACATCATAACAATCGGAAAGTTGGAAGGAAAGTGAGGCAGACGGAAACAAAGGGAAAAGATGTTTGATGTTTTGACATCATTGCAGGGAAGTACTAATGTATCTGGAATAATTGTCAGTAGACAAGACAGAAGGTTACAGAGTAGACATAAAGACCAATGGACTAAACAAAAGAGAATGTAACAACTAATTGTTGGAGGTGGTCAGCTGCTTCAAGACAGTTTAGGCCATGAGAATTTTTGTGTTATCCTATCACAGTCCACATCAGGGAACACTGGGCATTCCATGTATGGGCAGTCCTACAATGCATCAGCCATACCAAAGTACCTCCACTGTTGTTGCCATTAAGAGACTACTGTGTCTCCTATCCTGATCTTGAAGACAGCACTTACTTGCTTCACTTTTAAGTCATGTAATAATATTAGCATCAGAGGTTTGAGTCTGTATAGCACCGATGATATAAGCTTTGTCCATGCATCTTCCACTCATTCATTACCTTTTACTTCGGCATACCCAGGAGTGTAGATCTAAATGAGAAATTTTAAGTGTGACCTCTGAATGCTATGAACCCATTCAGAAAAGAGGCTGCCTGTTGCAATTTTCTGGTGCATGTTCATGGAGTCTGATATGATGACAACATGTGTGTGGCTACTTGCTTTGCTGCCTATGCTAGTGCTCTGGTAGTGGCAGTTATCTCTATGGTCATGCTTGAAGTATTGCCTGGTGAACACCACTATCCTCTTTTATTGTGCTGTGTATGCCCGTGCTTCCCTCGACCCGCATTTCACAGAGCCATCTGTATCGATGATGATGTGTTCTGGACATAAATACTGATCTATCAGTGCCCTTATCTCGGTGGCTACAGCGGCTGGAGTTTGGTTCGTGCAGAATCTCCCCAGTGTGATGATAACCTTAGAGACTAACTGCATACAATTATATGAGTGTTTGATGTTAACTTGATGTTTCTACCTGTTTCAGAATGAGAACATAGACGATGAAGATGACTCATCTTCAACAGATGAAACACACATAACACACACCAGGCTAGATGGGGGGAGAGCATCATTCCAGAGCAGATGGGGTTATCAAACCCTTGAAATTATCCAAGAACATTCTGAGAAAAGTTTGTTTGCAGCAAACTCTGAGGAGAGTGGTAAGTTTCTGTCTTTGATTTGACAGTGTGTGATTTGTTGATGTCTGTGTGTTTCCCTGATGTGTGCAACGCTTTTTATAAATTCTTCAGTTTTGTTACAACATGAACCGATCATGCGAGTCAGACTTGCCGTCACCATGATCTATGATTCCATGTCTCCTTATAGCACAATTAAACACATTGTCTTGGAAAGATGGAATAGTGCCAACTGAATCGAGTTTTGAAATCATTTAGAATTCTTTAATCTGTGAAAGAATTACCTTGTGAGCATAAAATGTTCTTTAAGAGCGCCACAAATACAGTTGTGAATAGACAATCTACCTTTGAACTGTTAATATAAAAGATATTAATGACAAGAGCTGTTGGAAAAATGTTGTAAGCAAAACATTTTAATATATGTAATGCTAGAATGACAGTTGTGAGCAGTCAGTCTACTTTTTGAGCTGTAAGAATGAAAGTTCTGCTTCAGGAGCTACAAGACTAACAGTGTGAGCAATCATTTTGCTTCAGGAGCTACAAGAATAACAGTGTGAGCAATCATTCTGCTTCAGGAGCTACAAGAATAACTGTGTGAGCAATCATTCTGCTTCATGAGCTACAAGATTAACTGTGTGAGCAATCATTCTGCTTCAGGAGCTACAAGAATAACTGTGTGAGCAATCATTTTGCTTCATGATCTACAAGAATAACTGTGTGAGCAATCATTCTGCTTCAGGAGCTACAAGAATAACAGTGTGAGCAATCATTTTGCTTCATGATCTACAAGAATAACTGTGTGAGCAATCATTTTGCTTCATGATCTACAAGAATAACAGTGTGAGCAATCATTTTGCTTCATGAGCTACAAGAATAACTGTGTGAGCAATCATTTTGCTTCATGATCTACAAGAATAACTGTGTGAGCAATCATTTTGCTTCATGATCTACAAGAATAACAGTGTGAGCAATCATTTTGCTTCATGAATAACTGTGTGAGCAATCATTTTGCTTCATGATCTACAAGAATAACTGTGTGAGCAATCATTTTGCTTCATGAGCTACAAGAATAACAGTGTGAGCAATCATTCTGCTTCATCAGCCAGAAAACCACAAGGATGAAAGTTTAAGCCATCATTTTGATAACGAGTTAGAAAAAGAAAAGTGAGCAGTCATTCTTTTTCAGTAGCTACATATGTACATAACTACACACACACACACACACACATACACACATGCACGCATGCCAAATACACATTCATGCTGCACATACACACACATGCACACACACATACATACATACACACATACATACATACATACATACACACATACATACGTAAACACACACACAGACACACACAGACAGACACACACTCACCCAAACACCCATACACATATACACACTTACACACACACTTACACACCCACTCTTACACAAACACACACATGCATGCACACACACACTTACACACACACACTTACACACATACACACTTACACACACACATTCATGCATGCATGCACACATGAACACACACACACACACATACTAACACTTGCACACACATTCACACACACACACACTTACACACATAATGAAAGTTGTGAGAAATCACTGTACCTTATGAGCTACAAAAATCAAAGTTGCGAACAATCGCTCTACGTATAAGCTACAAAAATCAAAGTTGTGAACAATCACTATACTTTATAAGCTACAAAAATCAAAGTTGTGAACAATCACTATACTTTATAAGCTACAAAAATCAAAGTTGTGAACAATCACTATACTTTATAAGCTACTAAAATCAAAGTTGTGAACAATCACTCTACTTCATGAGTTACAATTATCACAAGTTGTGAACAATCACTCTACTTCATGAGGTACAATTATCACAAGTTGTGAACAATCACTCTACTTTACGTGTTACAATTATCACAAGTTGTGAACAATCACTCTACTTCATGTGTTACAATTATCACAAGTTGTGAACAATCACTCCACTTCATGTGTTACAATTATCACAAGTTGTGAACAATCACTCTACTTTACGTGTTACAATTATCACAAGTTGTGAACAATCACTCTACTTCATGTGTTACAATTATCACAAGTTGTGAACAATCACTCTACTTCATGTGTTACAATTATCACAAGTTGTGAACAATCACTCCACTTCATGTGTTACAATTATCACAAGTTGTGAACAATCACTCTACTTCATGAGTTACAATTATCACAAGTAAATCATTATGAAAGCACAGTCTTTATCAACTACGTGTCCAGAGTATAGCAAATAACGTCCTATCGAAAAATTGGGTTGTCTCTTCTTGGGTAATCTTGATGCGGGATCTCCACTTAGTTGTGTTTGGAGCCATTTATGGAAGTGTTCTGCCACTCTCTTTTCAAGCTGTCTCTCCCTTCGATCGATGTAAGTCAACTGACACTTACATGAAACTTATATTGACAATACTGACATTTATTGACTACTGTGTTGTTTTACTAGATAATTGTATTTTCGATAATCTGTCATTGTTTCTAAATGGGATCATGCTCATAACTATTATAAATTTGCTGCTGAATTCGAATGCCGAGATCCGACAGTGCTCTATGTATCATGAATATAATGTTATTGTATGTACTTCCTGGATACCTGCAGCACCACTTTAATAAAGTGATTAACCTGCAGGCAATGTCATGTACTGGACCTGCCTGCTATTCAGGAGTAGGGTTTGAATTATAATCTGTGTTTAGATAAGCATGGAGCTCCTTTATTATTTCGTAAACATTATTATTTTTGTTAAGTACATTATTGTTATTGTTGTTATTATTATTATTATTAAGCACTTAAACAATGCTTAGGCTCTTTGTGTCCTCCAAGAAAATTGTCAAGGAGTCTGAGGCGACCCTCCCTTTATCTTTTCTTTGTGTCGAAAACCCTACATCAGATTGTCAAAAGGTTGTTCATTAGTGCACTGTAATCAATACAATATTACCCATAGGATACTTGTTCAGCTGCTGACACCAACGCCCACCTGTTAGCCAACGTTCTAGACACCTGTCTTTTGGTGGTTTCTGTTCTAGGCATAAGGTAGAGGCCTGTATCGTTAAGTATCTCGCTAGCCTTGTATGTTTCCTCTGAAGGTGCCAGCCAGACACAGAGAGCTACTGTGAGCTATCTCTGATGGTTCTGCAGAACCTATTTGTGCCAAATGCTTACATTGCACAACATAGATCATTTGGAGCGGATCTGTGAAACGGGTCTGGGATATCAGTAAAACTGGTCGGGTTTACAGATGGGGTCAATCTTCGCAGACGTAATGCTCTCAGACTAGCAAGATGTTGACAAAAGATGATGACTATACTCGAGGTTATAACAAAAACTAAACGAAACACCTACAAGAAAAAAGGATTGCCAAGCTTAGCGAAGGGAAACGAACACACAGATTCAGTTGCATATATTTTATACCAATACTGCTGCTGAAAGCAGTTAGCACAATACACTGAGAGCGCATAGTTAGAGAGTTAGAGGATATAGTTTCGTCGCCCAGCTTCTGAGTTGAATGCATGGCGTGACACTGTGAGCTGCGAATTACATTTGGAATGGTTTTTTTCGACTGTGACCAACGTGGTGGTGTGAATTGTAGATTGAGAAAATGGCGCGATGCCTGTCGTGCAATGTTGGTGGTGCCCGTATGTGATTAAAATTGATCGCGTGGGCAACTGCTGATCTGTTGGTGACTTCTGCTACCATCAGTAATGAACTGCATATCTAATGTCGGACTGTTTGTGTCACTTCAGTTGGCCACCGCATGCTTTAATGCGAGTGTATGCTAGATAGGTTGACACAGCAGTCTGACAATCTTTCCACAAGGGACCGTGATAAACATTATGTGTGTTTTTCGTTGGCACAGGAGCGGAGCAAAGATGGGGTGACCCGTTTGCTATGAAGCTGAAACTAAGACTACCAGACTACCAGAGAGTTGCACTTATGTCTCCATTATGGGGGCAGTACTCGAGTTCAGCTTTACACTCTCGGCTTCTTGGGGCTGAGTGGTCTCGAGGCATGGCGTCTACCTCGAATGCTGGAGGTCCAGGGTTCAGGCCCCCGTAAAGGCTCGGAATATTTTCAAGTGGACTTCTAGTAATTTCCTCTGGTCTCCACCCCCCCCCCGCCCCATCTTCCCCTGTGAGTTCTTACTTAATTGTAATGGAAAGAGTGCTTATAGGGATCTGAGGCTACCACCCAGTTTTTGCCTAGGTCGTCATGGTTGCGGTTTTGCTGAACACCCTGTCCTACCACTATGTTTACTGGGGGTGGGGGGGGGGGGGGTGGTGCCATTTTTACCTCTAAAATGTGAACTTTGTAAGACTGGCTTACGTGCACAAATCTAAACTCTTTAAAAATAAATTTTATTCGTTGATTCATTGGTTCAACGATCCCAGCCAATTTCCGATAAACTGCACCCGTGAAGCGAACAAAGCAGTTTGAAAACGAATCCACACCTTGATCATTTCTGCAGAGACACCTTACACGTGAGTAGAAACAACAAACTGTCAGGTGATAGCAAATGCTCATTGGTGTATACTACAGCTGTTCAGCAAGGCAACATACATACACTGTACATCTATACGTTTTTCACAGAACTGTTGAGAGAGGTATTCCACAATAGATTCCAACACTGATGAAAAATGTTTCTTACTGCTAGAACTGGTGTCGAGTCCCGCGTGAACACTGTATTTTACCAGAAAAATAGAAATTGAGTTGAGTCACGAAATTACATCCCAGCACTCGGGGCATTAACATGCATGCTCCGTCCTAATCCTCAGCAACCAGCGCAGAGGTCCAATACTAATGGTACTGGTACCTTTCCTCTGAGTGCAGTGAGCCGGCCAGACCTTCTGGTTACACCCAGATGACTTATTCTCTGCAGGCCATCATAATCTTCTATCTCTACTGATTCCGTTGCTTGTTCCTAAAGGGCCTTGACCACATCTGCCACCCAGTGGTAGAGATCCAGCC